TGATAAAAACGTGGTCATAATATGACAAATTCACTCTATTCTTTCTTACTTTCTCTCTTTCCCAAGTTGGTTTTTTTTTTTTTTTTTTTTTCAATGAATTTTGCTTATAAAATAATCTTTTTATAATCCAATTTCAAAACCCGAAAGTTTCAATTTGTCTTATATTTTTGTTATCCAATGATTTCCTTCCATTATTCATTTGGGTGTAGTTTTTTTGGTAAATATATGTACAAATACCATATTTTATATTTCACAAAATAATATTTTCATCTCACAAAATATAATATCTCTAATTATATGTATATAATGGATGTTTTTCACGAATTCCTAAACTTAAGAAATTATTGTTTTAGTGGAATATTTCCTACTATACCTTTCTTATTTGTTTAAAATTTGTTGATCCTTTATATATTTTGATGTACCAAAACTAATTAAAAGAATTTTTAAAGATTACCAATGTGTAAAGGTATGACATAAGTCATAACCTTAAAAAATGAGAATGTAGTTTTCTAGGTGGAGCACTTGTTCCTAATGGAACACCTGTTCCATTTCAATTTGAATTAAAAATAACTCCTAATCAAGTTGTTCCAAGAAGGAACGACATCGTTCCATGATGTCGTTCATCAATCTTCCAAAATTGAGCTAACTCCTAGTCAAGTTGTTCTAAGAAGAAACAATGTCGTTCATCTATCTTCCAAAATTAAGCCAACTTCCAATCAAGCCGTTCCAAATTGAACACCTTGTTCCCTCAAGCCGTTCCAAATTGAACACCCTGTTCTCTCAAGCCAACTTCCAATCAAGTCATTCCAAACTGAACACCTTGTTTCGTCAAGCCGTTCCAAATTGAACACCCTGTTTTGTCAAGCCGTTCCAAACATAACAGAAGACTTATTCGAAGACACTAACATACATTCGCGATCTGAAGCAAAACAATCATTCCACATGAATGACGTTGTTCTATTACATCATTCATGGTTCTAAAATCTTGACACTCTTTGCGATCTGAAGAGGAATGCTCGTTCCAAGTTCAAGTCAAGATTTTGGACTTAAAAGATTTCAAGCCCAAGTCAAGGTTTTGAAAATTTCAAGTCAAATAAGAACGACCATGACGAACACTCATTCCTAGAAATTATCAAGCCATTCCAAGGTGGAACACCTATTCGCGATAGAGGAATGCCCGTTCGCGATGGTGGAATGCTCATTCACGATAAGGGAACGGCCATTCCAAACCTTATTTTCAAAGAAAAATGATCGTTGGTGTCAGGAACGCCCGTTCCTCTAGGTTCTACAGTTTTACAAAAAGTTGTAGTAGTGCATTAAATGAAGTTACAAGTATAATTTATTTCAAGGGTTGGTGAACACATAAATAGAGAGACTTATTGCAAGAGAAGTAGAGTCTAAACAAGACGAGAAAGAGCAACATTCCTTGAAAACCCTAGAGCTTGACCTTAATCATTATTCACTCTCATTTGTACTCAATCCTATATTCTTCGAGAGAAAACTTCAAACTCATTTGTGAGTATCAACCTACTTTAGAGGCAATCAGTCACAAAAACTTTTTTATATATCTTTGTGGGCGAAATCCTGTAAAACTAAAAGTAAAATCCTGCAAAGCTATTGTAAAAGCGAAATCTGAGTTTAGTGGAACTACAAGGATGTTGCCTTGAAGAAGTGGATATAAGGAGCTCCTGATCAAAGCTCCAAACCATTATAAATCTTTGAACATCTCTCTTCCCTTAACTAATTTACTACTTGTTGCACATTTATTGTTATTAATTTTTCATTGTATTTGGGTAGTTGAAGTTTTTATAAACTCCTTTTCACCCCACCTAGGAGTATTTGCCATATTAGGGTTTTACAAAATTGTATCTTCTTACCAAGTTGTGATATCAGAGCATATTGCTTCCGCACCCAATAGTATCCTTATCAGTGTTGACATAGTAGCCAATTGATATATATATATATGTTGTTGCTTTGCTTGAGTTCCAAAATTGGGAAGTAGATGAAATGTACTCAAAATAATTGTTGCCGTATATAAAAAGAAATATATGCAATCAAGCAAAAAACATTTCTCATTTTATACTCCATTTGGTTGTTAGAAAGTAGTAGAAATTGAATTATTTAACAGGAAACTAATTAATAATGACATTTTTATTTATTTATCAATTTTTAAAGATTATATTTATAATCCACATCACTTGCTTTCAATTAATTAATTTTGTATTAGACAATAATAATCATAGGCATCATTATATTTTATTCCAATAATTTCTACATACATAATGTCAATTAAACTTGCTTTCATTACTTCATTTGGAGGCCAACTTTTAAATGATATAATCCATTGCAATTGATCTGTCTTCATGAAGAAGATTAAGTGTGATTGATTAGCAACATTTTAAAATTTAGATCCAATATTTAGATGAATGCTATGAAAATGGATGTATTAACCTCTCGTGGCTGGATAGCAAGTCCTTTAGCCACTGAGATTAATAATACCTAAAGGTTTTGTGTTCGAGTTTACCCAAAAAAATGAAGATATAAAGGTAAGGGTCATTTTATCCTCTCCATTTGTGACCGAATGTCAAGCCACTAAAGTTAGTTATATTTTAGCCTCTTCTTGTGGTTAGATGTCAAACCCTCTAATAATTAAGGTTAGATATATTTATTTTTAATATTTAACAATAGTTTTCAAAAGTAAAACACCATCATTAGAAATTGAACGAAGGCCAAACCTCAGCACCAAAAACAAAGTGTTTTTGTTTTCGTTGTTGAATGCCTAGCTAGCAAGAGAAAGAAGAAGACTCTTTTAAGTGTTTTGAAAAATGATTGATTTTTTTTAATAGTGTTTTCAAAAAACAAGAGCTTCGGCTGTTGTGGCCCTATTGATGAAATAAGTAGGGGGACAAAGCCGTTTAAGAAGTTTCATTTTTATGTGTTTTTTTTTATTACAAGATTGTCATAATTTGAAGTGGGCATGTTGTCACATTTATATTATATCATAATGTTTTGACTCTCCATCTTGTATGTGATCAAGTGCCCACTAAACCCATTAATTATCCAACTTTGCCTTGGGCTAATGGTTACAAATTCGAAAACTATAGGGGTGAATCGTAGTATTTAAGCATCTACACGATCAAAGGTCATGTTTTTTCATTTTCGAAGATTATAGAATTCGACTTGCAAATCAAGTACATGAATTCAGGCTTGCCTCACTTACAAAATACCCAAAACATGGTTTTCATGATCATATGATAAAAATGATTGTTACATTTAATTGGTGACAATTGCGAATTTACAAATTTTCATGGGACAAATACACTACTATACTCTTTTGATTAAACCAAAAACTATTTCACCTTTAAAAATACCCATTAGCTTATGGGTGACATTTCTTGAATTTGAAAAACTTTTGAAGGGTTGGATTGATTACAAACTTTTGTTTGTGTTTTATTGTCTCCTAAATAATGCTATTGGTATTAATGTCAATTGAAATTGAGCAATGAAACACATAATAAGATTACAACCTCCTTAATTTCCTAGATTAGGTTAAGAGAAGCTTAAACTATATATATATTTCAAGATTAAGTTTCAATTATTTGTTTCCAATTTTAAAAACAGGATGGTCCACCTAAATTCTTAGACTCACAACTTTGTTTTAAATTAATTAATTAAAACCAAATTGAGCATGGTCTATAATAGTATGTTACATGCTTCTTATATAATCATTCCATGCTCCTAATGTCAAACCATAATTAAGAAACTTGGAGCCTTCATTTCTCTACTTCTTCTACCAACTCCACTTCGTATATCCATTTGAAGACTGCAATTGGTCATTATGTCCCACAACTCACAACCTTGCTTTGGTCACTGTCTTCTTTCGGCCACATATGTCTTTTTATACCATTTTTTCTTCATTCTTTTGATTTTGGAGATCTACAAATTGAATTCATTTCAACCACAGTTAAGGCATTTTATTCAGGAGAAACCAAAGTCAAGTTTGATTCTTTTGGCATGAAGGAAGTGCCAAATCATTTGAAACGATAGAATAAAATCATCTCTCTTCATTCGATATTCCCCTTCTACTTACTAATTGGAAGCTTTTACTATTCAATTCCCAGCTACTCCATCCATCATCTCTTCCAATCCCACCTTCTCAATTATAATTACCATAATAAATTCTTTTGTTACTTATACTTCGTAACATTATTTAACCGATACATAAATCTGTCTGATCGATATGATAAGTCTATCTAACAAAAGAAACACATGTAAATAGTAATTATTGATGAAGGATGTACAACTTTAACATGATAGCTTATGAATGGATAAATGTAATTTATAACGAATAGATAAGATTTATTTATAAATCGATTAATTATAAACTATAATATCGAAATCATAAGGGAAGGTTAAAATGGATTACAAATGTAGAAATACCATCTATGAATAATAATACTGTACAAACCAGAATTTGTAAAGAGAATTACATAAATTCTACTGTCACCAGTTAGCGGTGAGGACTTGGTGTTTGTGTGACACTCCAAATCTTAAACAGTTAGATTTTCTGAAAGTGAACCGGCTCTCAGTTCCCTCTGCCCCCACCGTCGTACACAAACTCAACTGTTCCCATGTTCTCATTTCTGGCCAAATTCCTATCAAACATAAATCCCTCTACAGTAGAAGGATTAGGCCACGCAGAATGCAGTATAACAGTGAAGCAGCTCCATTTCTAAATTAAATAGCTGGTTTAATGGGGTCCATTATCTTCCCATCCATCAATCAATCCAATAACGTAGGCTCCACATATCATCATCACCTCTCTGCGTAGCAGTAGTACTACTGTAAGATCAAATCAAATAAAATCTATTAAATCTTTAGTATGAGTTCGTATTCATTCTATTATTCCTCCTGTACTTAATACTTATTCATTGTCACTGATTAAATTAACCCAACTGTAACCATTCACTTTTCTTTTCTTTTTTTCTTTTTTATTTTATTTTCCCGCGCTTTAAATCCTACCCTTTATTATTGATTTTATATTTTATTATTGTATTTATCCCCACCCATGTCTGCGGCTCCAATCTGATAGTCAAAGTTGTTTGCTTTACTCACTTTCTATCACAACACAACCCTTCAGCTAAGTTTTCTCTTCTTTCTTCATCACTATTCATCTCTCAATTTTGATACTTTCTTCATCAAATGGAGACAGTGAAACCCAAATCGGGTCTCAACGGCAAGAGCAGACTGGCCAAGACTTTTCAGAAAGTAATCAACTTGAGAAGTGCAACAAAGAACATGGCGTCTAACAATGGGATTGGAATTTGTATCCTTACTTCACAGCACAAGTTTGGAGGAGATGACTCGTTTTGTATAAAGAGAAGTAGTAATAATCACATGGAAAAACCTGGAGATCCCAGAGCTAAGCACAGAGCAGTCATGGAAGCATTGGTGGCGAAGCTTTTTGCCGGAATCACTTCGATTAAAGCTGCATATGCCGAGCTGCAAATGGCTCAGTATCCTTACAACAGTGAGGCGATTCATGTGGCGGACCAGGCTGTTGTTGATGAGTTGAAGGCTATATCTGAGTTGAAACGTGCATTCTTGAAGAAAGAACTTGATCTTTCGCCTCAAGTTACTATTATGTTAGCGGAGATTCAAGAACAACAAAGTTTGATGAAGACTTATGGGATAACTATCAAGAAACTGGAGGCTGAAGTTGAGATGAAAGAGTCAGCAATTTCTGAACTGGAAAAACAGCTTCAAGAGGCCATCGCGTTCAATAAGACCATTGAAAAGAGATTAAACGCCAGTGGACCTATATCAATACTCGACAATCTTCAGCTTTCTGCTTTGAATCCGAGCCACTTCGTTCAGTTTCTTCACTATACGTTAAGATCTGTGCGGAATTTTGTGAAGTTAATGAACAAAGAAATGGAGTCGGCTCACTGGGATCTTGATTCAGCAGCCAAAGTTATAGAACCTGAAGCAATTTTTTCAAAGCCAAGCCATAAATATTTCGCCTTTGAATCCTTTGTTTGCAAAACAATGCTTGAAGGTTTCAATTTTCCGAATTTTTCACCAACAACTGAGTCTGAGTCTTTTAACAAAGTCCCTCGTGAACAATACTTGAATGAATTCAAGAAACTCAAATCTGTGAATGTAAAGCACTTTCTTTCTCAGAAACAGAACTCAAACTCTAGTTTCGCTAAGTTTACTCGCGCCAAGTACCTTCATTTAGTCCACGCAAAAATGGAGTGTTCACTTTTCGGTAACCTGAACCAGAGAAAGCAGATTAATGGTGGAGATTTCCCAGATTCTGTTTTCTTCATATATTTTAGTGAGATGGCGAGACGGGCTTGGCTTTTACATCGCTTGGCATTCTCATTTGATCAAGAAGTTAACATTTTTCAGGTCCCAAGAAACTGCAGATTTTCAGAAGTTTATATGGAGAATGTGAGCGATGACTCAATTGTTTCATGTGAAATTCCTGATTCTGGTGTTGATTTCCGTGTGCATTTTACAGTTGTTCCTGGGTTCAAGATTGGCAAAACTGTGATACAGAGTCAGGTTTATTTGTCTCCGGTGACAGTGAATTCCCCGGCAAGTCGTTAATTTTATTTTATATTTAGAAAAATACTTTTGTGAAGGTATTTTTATTTATTTATTTATAAAAGAAAAGGGTATAATTGTATATTGCACTAGTAGTTCAGATGTGAAAAGAAATGATGAAAAAGGCTTGATCTTAAACGCGCTTTCTGGGTTTAAGTTTCTATTTTCTTGATATCTGCAATTCGGTTTGGCCCCATATCCTGACTCCTGAGTAGAATTATAACATAACCAATGATTTCTTTGATCTCTATCCTCTCTTCTTACTAGATAATATTGTTTAGACTTGAAAATATTACTTTGACATCTTAGTGTCCCTACTTCACCGAAAGGATTTTGAGTTGAGGAGATGATGTTTACACGCGTGCATAGTCCCCTTTATCAGATCAATGCAAGAAAAACGGTTGTGGCATGAAATATGAATGGTTGTAAAGATGTCATCTTCGACAAATATTATAATGTCTTTTGTTGCCAAACTCAGCATGTGCAATTGATCACTATACTTATTTTGTACCTGTGATAAGTGTTTTAAAACTTGGCCCGGCCTAGCCGGTTGAATAGAGGCTTTCACTTGGCTGGATTTCCAATTTCTCTATTAGCTGAAAACCTTAGAAATTGAGATGATATTGACGAATAATTGAAGACCGGAATGATACGGCTTTTAAAGAGGAAGGGCCGATGAGTGTAATGGTGGCGACGGAGGTAATTTTTGGAGAGTGAATTGATCGAAAATCGAAAAAATTCGATAACAACAACAACCAACTTTGGTTGAGGTGAACAGGGGTGGAGTGGGATAGGTTTTGATTAGGAGACTGAGGGGAGTATTTTCGTGATGATGGAGAGAGTTGTCGACACTGACAATAACAAGATTTGGCCGGGTTGTTGACGCTAGCTTTGTTAAGATTTGACTTAGGTTGTCGACGTCAGCATTGGTGAGATCTAATCCAAATTGAACTTATTTCGACCCAATCTTGAGTAGATTTTCTAGGAAATGGGCTTAAAGAATGATTGAAATTGCATTTGATGTATCACCTCTGCCAACCAATTGACCATTGATTTGTATTTGAGGTGAGTTTGTGTTTGAGGTGAGTTTGCTAAATTTTAAACTTATAAAGACTTTGACCATAATTTCTAAAGGTATATTTGCTTAATTTTAAGGGTGCGCTTGTTTTGTTATTTTAGATAAGATTTTAAGAATAATATTAGGTAGTTGAATATAACAACTATTATGAAGTAAAATTTAAAAATTAACAAAAAAAGAAAAACCTCTAGACTTGCTAATTTAACTAAACACCCCAATATATAAAATTTTTGTAAAATGACCAAAACAACCCCACCCACCCACTGTGCCAAATTCTGACCACCATTACGAAATCTGGCCGAAAAATAACGTTACGACACAGACCGATCGAATTTGGTCGGTCGTGCATCGACATGGCCTTTTCCGACCAGATCTTCTATCAGATCTAGCTGTCAACGGCCACAAAAAACCAAATCCACTGTGAATCGAGATCGACGAATTATCAACCATTTTCGATCGTTTCTACTGACAGATTTCAACAACCATGGGTGGGTGGGAGATGTTTTTGTTAATTTTTAAACTTCTTTTTTGCTAGGGTTTTTAATTAAATTAATAAACTTAAGAATCCTAAAAGTCATTAATAAAAAAAAAAGATAGTATTTCCCAAGTAATTAAATAAACAGGTATTTTGAGAATAGGATAGAAAATAGGATATAAAATATTAAAACAAATGCATCCTAAAATTTTTGACACCCAATTTGACCAGTATCAACCAATTAAACCGGTCAACCCAAGACCCAACAGCTTCGCCGAGCTTCACCCCCAAGTTGGTTATTAAATCATTGCTCGTGATTTCTGATGCATTAAGGTCACTGTGACGCAATGTTTTTACCTTGTTTTCTAAGTTTCCAATGAAATGGAAGAGAAGGGAGATAGTAAGGAATCCATGAGTTGGAAAAAGAAATAAAATGAAATGCATTTAAAAAAATTGAGTTAAAAAGATTTCTATAGAATTTACAAGTTTATTAAGCAAAGGAATAATCAAAATAACAGAAAAAAAATTTCACCCAGGAAGGAAAAACAAAAAAGTGCCCAACAGTTGAAAAAACTGTTTTTTTGCTACCACCATAACTCCATTTCCGACCATCAAAGTCTCACTTACCATGCCTGAACACCAATAAGAAAAAAAGTATGTCACCTACATGATTTACCTAACAATTGCTAAGGATAAGCTTGCTGCCTTTCCATGTATGTGATGAACAATTATTTGAGTATTTGATTCACTTCCAAGTCAATCTCCATAAATGAGTCCGGTATGTCCCTGATTGCTCTTACCTGTACAAGGTTGACACGAAAAGATTAACGTTTTCCCAAAGTAAAATCCCATTCCCAACGTCAGTGAGCCCTCGATCACAAACAATTCAAGCTGCCGATGTTCCTCCATTGGCCATCAAACCATCAAACAAGACATCATACAATGTCTTTTTCAAGAAGCAACTTCCAAACATAGTATACGTTCGCTAACTTCATTAAGGCCAGTGTGTGTCATCCTCTCCAGATTGACTTAAGAAGAGTTAAGCCAGAGTTGAACTCACCAAGGAAAAGTTTCAAATGGATCTAGGTGACCCATCCGGAGAGGATGGAGGGTCTGAAGCATCTGCAAGTGCGGCAAGCATGCTTACAACGTCTGCTGTATCATCCAGATAGTACTTGGCTTTGCTTGGTTTTTGTTCAACAGTGCACGCAAATACAGATGTATTAGATGAGAGGACACCATTTGTCACCGCATTGCCTATGATCTCAAACATGTCTTCATCAGATCTGTCATCGCCAATACAAAGTACAAAATCAACCTGCCTTCCTTTCTCTGCCATTGATGTGTAGATCTTTTCTGAAACCAGACCTTTACTGACACCCTAAAAGCCACAGCAAAATGTTGGTTAATACAATGTGCTTTTACAACTTCAAGAAATGTTATCTACTACTTCAAAAGCATCAAAATAGCATGTCCGACAACGATGTCGTACAAGAAAGGTTACACCATTTAGTTTTAAGAGCCATCAACTGTCCATAGGCAGATAGCTTAGACTACAACGGCTTCAATATTCTGAGATAGGCATCATGATGTTCAGTAAATGTACAGTACATAACAAGTATCATGAAAACTGAGAATGTTTACCGCTGTTTATATTCAGACATGTTGCATGCATAAATACACAGGCAGCAAGCAAAATTATCATGGCGATAGGTGACAGTATGGGTGGCTTATTTTCTGTTCAATATAACCGAGATTTAAACCTAAGATTTACCCCATCCTATATCATCCCTTAATCACCGAAGAGCCAAATGAGGTAAACTGATGGACATAATCTCAATACATATCTTGTCGGTCATAATCAGAACTAAATAAAAAAGACACTGAACAAAATAGTTTAGCACAATCGTTAACCAATTATGCATGTTCATGATAATAAAACCTGATGCCTGGAACAAACTAAATGTATATAGGATAACTGACAGAAAATCACATGCATATAAAGAGTCTAAAATCTTAAGTTGAGATTAATACCTGTGGCTTTACTTCTACAATGAATTGACCGCTTTTTACAGCAACAGGCTCATTTGCTAGTACACTTTCAAGATGGTCTAACATTTCCTTGGCCTGACTAGATCCAAAAACTGGGTCTGCATCATGATGATGCCAGACCAAGGCACTTTCTTTGGTCTCAATTGAAGAACCATCAGTAGATTCAGTATACAATTTCATAACAGGCTCAGCAATGTGCATCCACCCAAAATCAGCACTCTGCCCACAAACTTCCCAGTCCTCATCTGCAGACCACCTGATAGCCACACAATTTAGTGCTAGTGCCAAAGACAAACAAACATTAAAATGCAAAAAGAAGTAGTAAATACATACCTCACGAAGTAACCGTGTTCGGCAGCAATTCCAAGTTTTTTGCACGGAGCAAACCATTTGCCTAAACTTTCCCTTCCTCTTCCACTAACAACAAATACAGTGTTCTTGGGATCATCACAAAGAGTATCTATGATTGAGATAACTTCTTGGCTAGGGGCCTTGTTGATAGAGTTTTGGGGCATTACAGTTCCATCATAATCGAACAGTATAGCTCTATTTTTGGACCTTAAAAATGCAGAAACAAGTGCATCAATTGACAACTTCCTGAAATTTGGATCAAGTGCCACAACTCTGAAACCAAAGCTAAGACCAATTCCCCAACAACGTCTTCTGAAATGATCTTTACAAGTCCTTTCCATATCTTGGAAGAAGCTTCTTGCCCAGTATGCCACATCATGTGTACTAACATACCTATAATGCTTCTCATGCCGCAACTGCTTCTCAGCATCAGCCATCGAAATTGCCTCATGCATTGCCTCTGCTGTTGCTTCAATGTTCCATGGATTAACCCGAATTGCACCACTAAGTGAAGGGGAGCATCCAATGAACTCTGATACTACTAGCATGCTCTTCTTCGGTCCACTTGATTCAGAAGAGGACTCTGATCCAGAGACTCCCTGCCTGCACACAACATACTCATATGGGGTAAGATTCATCCCATCCCTTACAGCGGAGACAACAACACACTCAGCAAGGGTATAATATGCAGCTCTTTCACTGAGAGATACCGGCCTGTCAATGAACACAATTGGTTCATAACCAGGCTGGCCATACGTATCATTGATTCTCTTGCAGGTTGAATGTATTTCAGCCTGAATTTCCTCAAGATCTTTTCCTCTTCCCCTAGCAGGATTTGTAATCTGTACCAATACTGCCCTCCCCTGCCACTTTGGGTGCTGCTTCAGCATATGTTCCATTGCTAATAGCTTCAAGTCAACGCCTTTAAATATGTCCATATCATCGACACCAAGCAACACAGTCTTTCCTTCAAACTGTTGTTTCAGCTCCTCTACTCTCCACTCCTTATCTGCAAGTCTTAGAACAGACTCAATCTGCCCCATGTGAATTCCAACAGGCATGATTTTTATCCCAACAGTCCTTCCATAATACTCCAACCCAATATAACCTCTCTTTGACTGATATTCCAAACCCAACATGCGGCTACAACAAGAAAGAAAATGCCGAGCATAATCAAAAGTATGAAAACCAATAAGGTCAGAATTCAAAAGTGCCTTAAGAATCTCTTCCCTCACAGGTAAAGTCCTATATATCTCTGAGGAAGGAAATGGACTGTGAAGGAAAAACCCCATTCTCAATCTATTAAACCTTCTTCTCAAGAAGGTAGGGAGCACCATCAAATGATAATCATGAATCCAAACATAATCATCTTCTGGGTTTATAACCTCAATCACCCGTTGAGAGAAAATCTTATTTGCTGCCACATATGCCTCCCACAAAGACCGGTCAAACCTTCCCCCATGAGTAGCTGAAAACGGAAGCATATAATGAAAAAGCGGCCACAAATGCTGCTTACAAAATCCGTGATAAAACTTTGCTAGAATGTCTGACGGTAAAAATGCTGGCACACACTTAAACCTATCCAACAAAAGCTGTGACACATCATCTTGTTCACTCAAATCAACATCTACTCTCAACGATCCCACATATAAAACTTCCATGTCTTCAGGCAAACCATCTTTTAACTGTAATAACAAAGAATCCTCATCCCAACTAAAACTCCACCCTTTATTGTCGGGTCTGCGCTTAGCTTTTACAGGCAACTGATTCGCTACAATTATAACACGATCTTGAACAACCGAGGATGGTACATCCGAGCTCACACTATTAGCCTGATCATCATCAAGCTCAGAAATGACACCAGGAACGGTCATTACTCTTGTTAATCTTTTCCTTTCACGAGTTTGGCCCATGACAGGAAAATTACCAGAAGCTAGATCCAGAAGATTGGTATACGATCTTGACATCATTTTTAACCACTTCTTGTTAATAACCTCAACTCAAACAACACGCCACAAGATCTCCGAATTCTAAACCAGACTCAAGATTGGTTCCTTCGTGAAATGACTATATTTTCGCAAGATCTGTAAAGCGTATAAAAAAAAAAAAAAAAATCACATCATTAATTACCCACCAATCAAGAATTACACAGAAACAATATTTTACATTAAATAGAAACACCATCAATCATATATATCACTTCAAAAAAAAATTCATGATTGCAATAAAATACATAGTCTTTATCAAAAACTCTAATCAATATACAATTAACGAACTTTAAATCAACTTAAATAAAAAAAAAAAAAAAAACTGACCTTGACCCAGCTTTGAAGAACAAAATTGAATCTTTATCCGGTACAAGATTGGAACAAAAATCAAAACAAAAACAGCAAAGAAAAGAAAAAACTAATCAGTAGGAAGAAAAAGAAATCTAGGGTTTGATTTTGGGTTGGCTTGGTCTTTCTCTATATCACAAGAGTCACATTTACAATCTCTCTCTCTCTTCTTTTCTCTCTCTACATACAATACCTATGGGTTCTTCCTTTGCAAATTTTTTATGTTTTTAGGATAATAAAAAAATACGAATTTAGAATATTTTTTTTTTAAATAAAGAAGAGGATAAGGTCGGCCAGTCGACTATCCAGTAATGCCAGCTGGCAATGCCGGGTTTCTACATCACGCGCTATTTCTCCCTCTTCCCTAGGCATCTGCCGACGTGTCAACCATTGAACTTCGCCATGTTTTCTTACTACTTGCCACCTGGTCCCACGATGTCATCACGAATAATCAATCACATGTTTCACGTATCACGAAAGATCTTTCGCCACGAACCACTGGGATCGTAACACGTAATCAAATTTGTACTAATAGGACACGTTTCAGTCAGTAGTTGAAAGAGACTTGCGGCAGTTTGTGGTCCAAGGAGTACCTGAAGAAAACGAGTGGGGACAGCGAAAGCGGTAGTCTATACATGCGGTTGCCACCTGGTGTAAAAGTTTGCGGATAAGATAGAATAGGAGGTGACTTGTCAAATTGATGACGTCATGTATGACAGAAATAGATGATGTGGCAGAACGTGGTAGGGCACTGTTAGATGGTTACAGTTTGTGGATAGAGTTTGGTCCTGGTTGGTGGTTTGTGTATAAATTGAAGAAAAGAATACTCCTGGTTGGGTGACTGTCTTCTTAAATTAAGTGAGAATTGTCCTTTTTGTCCTTTTAACTTTCATTATTTTTTTATTTTTTATTTATGACTAGTGTATCCGGACCAACTTTCGTACACTTCAACTAATCTCTTAGGATTGTGAAACTATCGATCGGATAAAAGTTCTAGTGGCCACTCCTATCAACAACTGGATTGATTCAAACTTAAAAGACCATGTTAAATTCTCTCTTATTCTTTTATCTTAAAATAGCTCAAATTTGATAAACCATGTTAGATTTTCATGGAAAACCAATATTATTACCCTTCAATACATAAAAAAATTAAATAAAAAAAGACTACAGTAAGATTGATCTAATTAGTAATTACAAGTAAAACTCACAATCAAATAAAATAGATGGAAATGTATGTCCATGAAATATCATAAAGTTGGTCAAAAACATATAAATCTAGATTATGGTTGTCCAATGTCATTAGGTCAAACATTGGAAGAAGTGAATAAAATATTGTGAGAGATTAAGGTTACAATGTGACAACCACTACACAGGATCCAAGAATAGATGAGTAAACGGTCTATTTAATTGGAGGTTGTTGTAGTATAAGATCATTAGGGAAGTGAAAGTGATGATGACCAAAATTAGATGACATTGTGTTGAGAAAGTGATGTGGGTTTATATTTATAATAGGAAATTAATCATCAAAATAAAATAAGATGATAGATTTCCATAATTTTTTTTTTAGGTATTTGAAGTATCTACATCGACATTAGAATCTATCTAATTTGTAGGGTCATTGAATACCTTATAAATCTAATAGACCAAAGTAATTACATAAATGTAATATGTATCTTTCATGTGGTTCAAACACAATACTCTTTCGGTATAGCTAACTCCAATGGCTAAAGGGTTTGTCATTCGATCTCAAGGGGAGAGATAGATTTTCACATTTGATAATCACATCCCACTTAATTAATAAATTTTTTTTTTTTTTTAATATCATCAGAGGTGTTCAGACCAATTTGCGTATACCTCAATTAATCTCTCAAGACTTAAAACTGTCAGTTTGATAAGAGTCTTAATGACCAGTCTTATTAGTGTCTGAGAGAACTCAAACACAGAAACTCATAAACTCTTGTAATTAACAGTTTATGTGGATGAAATTTGCATAATCTTCATTTATATGAATTTGCCTATGGAACTGTAAGTCCTCAGATTTTGAAGAAGCACAAGCGTTTGTGTATTCCAGCTAATGTTGAAGGTGGAGTCCACCTCAAAAGCTTGCGGTCCATCTTGTCTCTTCTCATCTTTCTTTGGAACTTCTCTATTTTTTTTTATTTTTTAATTCTTTTTTTTATGCTTTGTTCATTTATAGTAACAAATCATATCTCTTCCCCACATCTTGTAATTTTGTTAGTTGGTAGGATAAGAACTCTTTATACCTAAACTATGCTTTCCTCTAAGGATTCCAATTGCATAACTAGGCGGTAGATATGTACTTTATTCCGGAAAATGATGATGAAAAAATGGGGCTATCCTGGTTGTGAGGAATCGTATTTTTCAATGAATTTGGTCCCTGCCAAACTGGGATATTCTTTAAATTTCAATGCATTGTATTTTTCCATCTTTTGTTTCAAAAAGAATGGAATCAAAATAAACACATTTCAAGGATTACATTTATGATCTTTACGTGTAACCAAAAGATTGAGGAGGACATGATTTGATGTTCCCTTCCCCCACTCCGTCCAAGACAGCATATAATGGAGCCTGCATGCCATCTTCAATTAATTCTAATCTTATAATATAATAAATAATATTTCATTCTTTCATTAAACATAAATACTCCATTTCCCCATCATTGGCATATTCTAGATCTTCAATTTTATGCAATCTGAAAGAGAGAGAGAGAATGTGATAAGGTTCTTGCTTATCATTCATTTCTTTTATATACTGGATATGTTAAAGTGATTGTAACCGGGCATATGTAAATTTGTTGCATTCTAATTTGTTATCTTCTTTCTTAATGAACTTTTTCACAGTAAATTTTTAAAATACCACTTTATTACCCAAAATATTATTTCGTTAATAAATTTTGTTGTGAAAGAAAATAAAATGGTAAAAGTCCATTATAAGTCGGGGCATGATGGTTAATTAAAAAAGGACACCTAATTTTGGCAACGTCATCGGCGGAGAAAAGATTGGTGAGCCATCGACAATAGGAGAAACAGTCAAATAAACATTCAATCAACACAAAACAACACTTCAAACCAATCAAGCAGCCACCAAGATAACCAATTCACCCAAACAACTCCAAAAAAACCTCCCATTGAAACCCAAACACACAAATGGCACAAGAAACCGTAATGGAGGTCGCCAACGATTGGAGAGCTATCATGGTCCAGATTGTTAGGGCTATTGAAGAGGGATAGCCGGTGATTCATTTGGCGGTCAGAGTCGACCGAAATCGTGTAATAGAGGGCAACAGTCTTCAGCAAAAACTCGCAGATGCCAGCAAATGGTGGGTTTGATGAGGACGGTGGAAGATGAATTTTGATGAGGGAGGCACGTGGAGAAGATGGTGATGGTGGGGAGTCACAACAATTCCGGAATCAGCTAGCAATGCAAAAAGGGTAGTCACGATTGGAGGAGGGGAGATGAAGAAGAAGAAGAAGATGGGAGTGATTGTGGGTGGGGGTGAAAGGGGTTTTGGTGGGGGGATGCTGGTGAGTTGAATGGCGGTGACCGGGTCAATTTCTGGTGCCGGAATGGGCTATGAAACTTTGATTTGCAGTGCGGTTGGGGGTTGATCTTTGGTGGGGGTATTTTTGGTTTCAAATAAATATCATTATATTTAACGAAAATTATTAACAGGGCATAACGTTTTTGTAATAAAATGATATTTAAAAAATCCGTGGGTGAGAAAGTGTCATTAAGTCATTATTTGGGTGGGAAAAAATTGTTTGCTCATAATATTTATGGAAGATTAGATTAGGGGCTTTTTAATTTTTATCCTTTTTTGATGCTTAGACATTGGAGTATCCAATGAGCCAAGAAACTCATCCACGAATATTACAAGGAAAAACAGCTATGATTGTCAGTTAATCAAACAATAGAACAAGCAGTACAAAAGACAATAAAAATTAATCATGTGCTTGCCTTGGGGATATATCCAATGTAAATGACATTGCAACAAATTCTAATACCCTTCTGTTCTTGGACATAATAATTTTGCTGATTGAGAGAGACTCCATCTGACACAATAATGTCTTCAAAGAACGAGAAAATTAATGTTGAATTTGTTTCCAGGGTTGTTGGAAAGTGGAAGGAGACTTATCATTGGGTGCACAATACTTGGGGCTTTTGCTGCTGTTGCTATGGCATTTTCAGCTGGTGCCAACAATCTTCCAGCTCCGGTCTGTTTCTTTCTTTTTCATTTCATATGTGCAGCATAATCAACATCTTAAATGAAATTAAGGAAAAAGAAAATCAACTGCAGACATTACTACATTATTACAGAACTATGATGTGCAATTTTTGTGGCATTGATAATGTTTATTGTGGAATGACAGTTTCAACGGCGGTAGGGTAGACGCGTTGACCCTTTAAAGGCTTCAATAGTAGCTTGCTTAATCTACGTTCCTGGAGCAGCCTTCGCGAGCAACAGCAGTGTTAATGCTTTATTTTTGATGTAGGGTCAGGGAAAATGATGTGCGGCTTTATCTTTACTTTCATCTATTTTATAGTTCTGAAGAATATTTACAAGATGGCACATTTCATCAAGCACTAAAAAACTACTGTTAAAGGATAAAAAAGCTATAATTTTTTGTGTGCTTGCAGTTTCTCAAAAAATCAACCAAGTGAAGGTTTCTTGATGTGGACTATGGTAGTTGTTCTCATCAGTGCAAGTACTTAACAACACTCTGTCCTTAATTGCATATATTGCTTATAATTATATTACAGGCAGTAATTTAATTGATATACTTTGGAACAGCAATCTGGCTGGCATTGCAACATATATGGAGTTACCAGTATCGGCTCAACAAGCGACACAGGGTGCTTTGTTAGGAACCATTCTAGTTACGAAGATTTCGATTACATTCCCTTGTGGAACAAGGTAAAATATAACATTAAAGAACAAATTGACAAAGAATTTCTCAAGACTGAGTAGCTTCAAGATTTATATATGATTTCTAGTTCTCAAGCATGGTCTAATTAATGCAGAATGAAAATCACAATTTTAATGGTGGAGGACTCCTCTGGATATTCCTCGAGTGGACTGTAGCTCCATTACTAGCCTGCATATGTGCAGGCTTTCTCTTTGCTCTCCTGAAGGCGTCTCTACTTCGCCATGAAAATGCATCGAAGAGGATTCTCATTTTTCCCATTGACTATGGAATATC